GGTCGGGGCCCCCCAGCAGCCTCTGAGGACTTGTTCATTCTTCTCAAGAAAGACTTGAGACAGGGAAAAGGTGTCGCTCTCCCATGGAAATTGTAGGTGTGGCAGCCTGGTGGAAGCCCTGAACGTGGTTGGGAGCAAACCCTCAGCGTTCTGAATCTCATCCTGAATCCCTGTTAATCTCACACAGAAAAAGGTGCTAGGAGATGGCCAGGACGGACGGGGTGAGTGGCAGGGGCAATTCTGGGTCCTTGCACTCTCTACCAGTTACATGCGGGTAGTGGGCTCAGTGTGAGCGCTCTGGTTCCCCCCTCCCCTCCTCTCTGGGGTACTAATGCAAGATGTTGATGAATTAGGTCATTCTCAAGGCTTTGACTCAGATTTGTACTTTGATACATGAAAGGGAATATCAAGCTTGTTTGTACGGAAATAAGACTGTACATAAAAATGAGTCTGTGTTGTGTCTGGTGACATATATTTCATGTTTACCCAATGCTGTGCTAAACTTTATATATATATTTACACCTGACTTTTTTTAGATAAAAAGGAAAATTTAAAGGTTAAAAAAAAAACCTGGAGAATGTTGATACCAAAATTTAAAGAAAGCAGCCCAAACATGAATAAAACCAGACAGCTCTGGGGCGGGGCAAGGGCAAAGGGACTCCTGCCATTGCAGGAGCTTCTAGTGGTCAAACTCTCCACCGCCTGCCCCCACCCAAGCAAGACTAGACACCAATGCTAGCTCACATTTTCACAGGGGAGGACAGAGTGTCCCATGCCAGGCCCAGTGAGCGAGATCCTGGCAAGAGTAACAGCTGCCAGCGCTTCACAGTAGCCCCAGGACCCAGGCATGCACCAAGTTCACAGTTCAGGTGCCTATCCCGCATGCATGGGGGGCGGGGTGCGCACACAGACTTTGCAAGTGCCTGCATCCCTTTGTGATGCGACACTGTGTTGACAGTTTTCTGCATGTGCCCGCATTATCTACTCAGCCTTTAAAAGCTGGGTCCTGGCCAGGGGTCTGACATTGCCCTTTTGCCTCAAGCTGTGCTGGCAGCAGAAGAAGGACCATTTGTGCTCAGCTCTGGAATCCCTGAATCCCTCCCTGAATCCCATCGTCTTCCCTAACCCTTACTGCTGCCATGGGCACTTCTCAGGGTAAGCTTTGTCCCTCAACCCTGCCCTGGCCCTGGCAGGCATGGACCTGCCAGAAGTGTCCCGTATGAAGTCCAGTCACAGAGTCCCCTGACCTTACCTACAGTGGTTGGCCACTCTGGCCAGCCCCGCGGTACAACTCCCAGGTTGTCCTGCTGCCATCCTGGAACTGCACCTCAGCAGTTGAGCAAAGTGCCTCCTGGCTGCTGGTCCTAGGTCCTGGGAGACCTGGACATTACCTCCACCCTCCACATGCCTGGTCTCCTGAAGATGATGCTGTCAGCTGCACATTTCACTAACTCCTGCAGCCTAGTCCACCCACTCAGCAAACAGATGCCTTGTATGGCACAGGAGCAGAGAGCCACTCCTTCCCAGCTTGTAGCACCGTGGTATACCCTAGAGCCTGCCCAGGGAAGATAGTGCTCAGTGCTCTTGGAGACAGTGGCCAAGGGTGGACGAGCAAGTGGAAGGCCCTGCATATGGAGAACATCAGAGGGGGAGCCCATATCACTGGAGAAGCACAATAGGACTTTAGGCTCCTGGTGGCCCAAGGCCGCCTGCCTTCCTTTGTGCCCAGGCAGGGAATCCTCCGCACTCAGAGTTCCCAAGTCAGAGCTGAGATATCCTGGGCCTTCTATATGAGCTCCTGCTATAAGAGAAAGGCCACCAGAACTCCTAGAGCTCCACTAGAGGTCTCCAAGCCCTGGAGAGAAGGGCTCCAGGCCCACCCAACAGCAAGCTGCCCCAGGGTACTCTTCATCCCCAGAGATGGCAGCCATTATGAAGTCAAACAACAATAAGTGCTGGCGAGGATGCCGGGGAAAAAAAGGTACACTCAATGGAATATTACTCAGCACTAAAAAATAACAAGATCATGGCATTTGCAGGCAAATGGATGGCATTAGAGCAGATGATGCTAAGTGAAGTTAGCCAATCCCTAAAAAACAAATGCTGAATGTCTTCTCTGATATAAGGGGGGTGACTCAAAATGGGATAGGGAGGAAGAGCATGAGAAGAAGACTACCACTAAATAGGGAAGAGAGGTGGGAGGGAAAAAGAGGGAGAAGGGGAGTTGCACAGAAGAGGGAAGGAGAACCTCATTGTTATACAGAATACATATATGATGTTGTAATGAGAAAAAGGAAAAAAAGTGTGTCACATTAGATTGGATAGAGAGAAAGGATGGGAGAGGAGGGGAGGAGTAGGGAGGATAGGAAGGGCAGCAGAGTAGAATAGACAATATGATTGATGTATGTACATTCCATGTATGTATTATATATCAAATTGCATTGTACTGTCATGTATGACTAAAAAAATAAATAAATAAATTTTTAAAAAAGATGGCAGACTGGAGCTGTCTACAGGTGAGGTCCTGTGAGTACTGTTGGGCTTTGAGCCCTGGTGAGAGAGTAGGAAGTTCCTACTGGAGTCAGATGCAGGCCCCAGATGTGGGGAAGGGGGACTATGAAGTCATAATGGTGTTCATGAGGACGGCCCAAAGGGAGCCACTGGCTGCAGAGCCAAGCTGCCAAGGTGCTGGGAGAGGGCCTGGGCGGAAGGGCCAAGCAGCAGTTGGCAGGCTGTGGAAGAAGGGGACACAGAGTTTGGAGGTGGGAGGGTGTCTCTGGGAGGAGAGAGCAGCGCCCACCCACATTGGGCGGGGAGGCAGTGCTGGGGTGGTAGGGCAAGGTCTGGCTGAGGCCCACTGATGCCAGAGGCTTGGCCCCTCCCCAGGTAGAGGGGGCCCACACATGGGCTGGGGTTGGGGGGCAAGGTACATCTGTCCCAGATGGCCTGGGATTCACCCATCAGAAGGCAGTTGATGTGCTGCGAAGCTTTCCCTTTCTCCCAGTTGAGGTCCTCAGTGGTGACTGGACAGGCCAGTTCTAGAAGTGGTGGCAGCCTCAAAATTCCCCCTATTGATGTGACAGCAAAGGAAACTTTCATTTCTGTGGCCTACTCGTATTCCCCATGGATGAACACTTCTTCCTTGGCAATGGCTGTCCCGCTCTGCCTACAGCCACCTTCTCACACTGGGCCTTCTTTGCCATCCATTTCCCTGCAAATGCCATGATCTTGTTATTTTTTAGTGCTGAGTAATAGTTCATTGTGTATAAATGCCACATTTTTTAATCCATTCATCTATTGAAGGGCATCTAGGTTGGTTCCACATTCTAGCTATTGTGAATTGTGCTGCTATAAATATTGATGTGGCTGTGTCCCTGTAGTATGCTCTTCTTAAGTCTTTTGGGTGTAGTCCGAGAAGGGGAATAGCTGGGTCAAATGGTGGTTCCATTCCCAGCTTTCCAAGGAATCTCCATAGTGCTTTCCAAATTGGCTGCACCAATTTGCAGTCCCACCAGCAATGTATGAGTGTGCCTCCCCACGCCCCCAAAGGATGAAGAGGAGGTCCAACTTTATCTTCTATTAGAAGCAGAGTCTCTGGTCCTGTTCCTCAGCCTGCCAACTTGAAAGGTGCAGAAACACGCTCCCTGTGGGAAGCAGCCCCTCACCCCTGGAGCCACCATCCACCTCGGGTTTCTGACAGGAGGAAGCCCAGAGGCCCCCCCCCGCCAGCTGTCAGTAGTTTGGATACCTGGGAGCTCCAGGTCCAGGGGTAGCTCCATTCCCACCATCATAGCAGGCCCCCAGCCTGGGGCAGCCCACCCACTCAGCCCTTGGTGCTGACAGACATAGAAATCCCACCGTGGGGGCCGTGCCAGCACCTGTACACATTCTGCTGGCAGCCAGGCTGCAAGGCCCACTGCAGCAACTAGTCCATCAGCCTCTGCAGCTGCTACTCAGAGGCCAGGGCCTTCGAACAGTGTTTGTTCCAAGAACAGGCAGCCCCAGTCAGCATGGGACAACCAAGTTTCATCCCCCTTAATGCTGCCAGTGTCAGTTGCCTCAATTGCAACTTGGAGGACAGATTTGTCCCCAGTTCTTCCGTCTCCCATGGCAGAAATGGGCATCTGCTAAAAAAGTAGAGGGACCCCCCAAACCAGAGAACACCATGGGGCCAGCTTGGGACAGAACAGCTCCAGGGCCTGCCCCTAGGCAGAGCACCACCATGAGCACCAAGGGAGGGAAGGGAAAATACAAACCAGGGCAAGCCACCACTGATGTTTGTGCAATTCATGCCGTCCCCCAAAGCCTGACCGTGCAGACCCCTGAAGCTCTCCTGGGGGGAACCATCACCACCTTCAGAAAGGCCACCTCGACTTGTAAGTTGGTCCCCATGCAATCAAGAAACCTGGGAGCCCCAACCAGCTCCCGGGTCAAATATCTGTCTTTGGGGTTCTGTTCATCTCCTCCCCAAGTGAAGGAAAGAGAAGCCTGAGACAGCACTTAGAGGGTAACTGGGGCTCCGACATATTCAGCGCCACTAACTAGACCATCCCTATAGTGGTCACTTTACAGGGGACAAAAACCAACTCTGTTCTTGGAGCCATGAGGGCCACTCCTTTAAGTGCCAAAAGGCGCCCCCTTACAGGAACCCTGAATTCCACCTGGGAGCATCAATACCTCCATGAACCAGGCTGCAGATATTTACAGAGGGAATCATATCTCCCATTTCCCTGGTGGTAAAGGTGAGGCTCTGGGAAAGGACATGAATTATGAGTTAGCCAAGGTCCTGCCTGGAAGAGCTGGGACTGGAATTCTGGAAATCTGGCTCCAGAGCCTCGTGCGCATAACCCTGCAGGGAGGCCTGATGCCGGGAGCGTGGAAGGGGGGGACCCATCAAGTTGGGGTGGGGGTCTCAGAGAAGAATGAAGAGGTGGGTGTGGCTGGGGAATTCGTCCAGAGGGGGAGACCAACAGGAGAGGGAGGGGATCAAGTGAGGGGACTGTAGGAGCAAGGCCAGGCAGCGGGAGTCTGTGGCTTAGGCAGAGGAATGACCTGTGAGCCGCTGGGGGTGCAGGGACGGACAGGGACGGGATTCAGAAGGAAAAGAAGGTTGGGCCACACCATGGAAAGAGCCAGGTCTGGCAGGGAGACACCACCCCTCCCAGCTCCATCCTCCAACTGTCTTTGAGTCTCTGTCTTGAATTTCCCCAAATCCTCCCTTCTCACCACCTCCACTGGCCCTATTCCACCCCTCCCAGCTCTCACTCCTCCCTGCCTTGCCCATAACAAGTCAAAAAGCTCAAAGCTGCTGGCCATATCCATGTAGCTCTTTTCCCTGCACCTTGTCCCCTCATCTGTCTTAACTTGAACTCCGGGTGGCTCTGTAGGGGCAGTGGTGGGTGACACACAGGATCTCCCTGCTTTAGAGCTGGAGAAACTGAGGCCCAGAGAAGTCATTCCTACTTCTATTTCAGACCTTGGGCCATCACCATCTCCACGAAGCCCTCCCTGCACTCTCTACTACCCTGTCAGGCCTGGTTTTGGGTTATTTGCTCTCAGAGGACCAAGGATCTTTGCTGTAGAGAACTGGCCTCAGGTTGCCACTGTCTATTCCTCCACATGGATTAGTTTATGTCTTTCTATCTCACTTGGCATGCAGGAGACACTGGAGAGACACTGAGCGACTGAATGACAGTTTGGGTTCTTGTGGCAAATAACAAGAAGAGGTGTTAGTAGAACGTGGATGGGGCACCACAAGGTCCCCACTTGGGGTATAAAAAGTCTAGGAAGCTTCTATAAGGGGTGATGACCTGGTTGGAGCTTGAAACCTGAGTTTCTGGTATCAGCTGGAACATGCAGAATGGTACCTGGCAGGAGGTGAGCCCCAGCTCCTGTCACCTTCAGGAATCTGGGTTCAGGGTCCAGTGGTCTAGGTAGCTGGGAATGTGGGCCTGTGAAGGCCTCTGCCCCAGCTCCATAACCCCAGGTGACCTTGAGGCAGGCAGGGTGGCATGCCCTTCCTCTGCTCACTCCCCTTTGTCCAGTGGTAGCCCAGGGGCATCTGACTCACCTCCTCTTTGCCCCACTTCCCCACAGTGAGATTTATTTTTAAGTCACCCCAAAATCCCTCCAGCCTTCCTGATTCAGCTCCCCTGTCCTCTGTGATTCTCTTGTGAAGGTCAACTCAGGGTCCCTGGAGGACTGCAGCCCATGCACCTCACTGGCTCAGCTCACCCACCCCACCCTGTGGCTCTCCACTCTCCCCCACCAAGTGGCAGAGGCCTCTGTTTTGGGGCTGGAGGTCTTCCCACCAGGAGTCTAGAACAGGCTTATTTATGTAGAATAGAAAAATTACGTATTTCATCCCATTTTTTTCCTGGTCTTTGACAAAACAATTCTATTTGCATAAGACTAATAATTTAGTGACCTCCTTAAAGGCCATTTTTCTCTTGATTCTGGCCCATACAGAGGCCATGCTCTGTTAGAGTGGGAAATTAATTTTTTTTTTGGTCTCAGATTTACAGCTACAAGCACAGCACTCCATGAAAATTCTTTCCAGTGAGTAGTCTGGGCTTAATATTCCCCATACTTAAAAATTATGAAGGAGACCTTCCAAACATTGTGGTTTCTCTGTGTACCGCATATCCCTTCTCATTATCTGGACCACAGGTCAATTTCAAATTTCCCCATGCAAGCAAATGACCTAAGGACAGAGAACTCCAAGGTGCTCAAACAACAAGGAAACCAAAGAGAGCAGGCCAGGGCCTCTGTGGTAGTGAGGACCTGACCAGAGAGCCAAGTAAGATGAGAGCCCCCTGCTACCCAACTCTGAGGGCAAAGCTGCCAGGGAGGGGGAGGGAAGGGGACGTCCTGTCTCTGAGCCTCCACTTTGCCCCAGGATCACAGAGGTCAGTGTGAGACCTGTGCTGTGCATCTAAACAGGCTGCCACCAGGTCCCATGTGGGAGAAGGTGGATGTCATCTTAGCAAAAGAGTTTTCTCTTGGACCCCACAGGAGTGGGTCCTGTCCTGGAAGAGGATGGTCTGGTGGCTGGTCCAGCAGAGCTGCCAGGGTGAGAGGCCAGCACAGATGTGCACCTAAATGCAGCCTTGCTCATGGTGGTGCTGGTGCCCAGAGGCGAACTTGTGCATTTCTGCTTGGGTGGGCCCTTGGGAGATGGCACTGAAAGGAGGAGGGGCCTAGGTAGCTCCAAGATCATGAGTGCTGTTTGTCCTGTGTAACTTGGTCACCATGGAAATACTCTGGTGGTGGGGGCCACAGAGAGTCAGGCCCAAGCTTGCCTCATAGGTCTGTCTGGGGCTCGAGGGTCCCTCCTCTTAGAAAGGAGAGGCTCATTACCCACACACAGGCTGCTCCCAGGTTCTCTGCTCCCAGGTTCCACTGAGGACACTGCCAAGGGCATAGTCATGCAAGTTGGTCTTTCTGGGGTGGTGTTGGCCCCTGAGTTGAAGTTGGGGATTTCTGCTTGGGTGGCCTATGTGTCAAGCACTAAATGGAGGGGCATCGGTGACTCCCTGCTCATGTTTGCTGCTTATCTTTTGTCCCTTGGTCACTGGAGGTGCTCTGGTTAGAGGTGCTGCAGGTTTTCATGCTCCAGGCTTGCTGTCTGGTGCTTGGAGTCCCTCTAATTTTGGAGCAGATGCTCAGTGCTCCAAGGGCCAGTATCACATCTGGAGGGAGGTCTGTAGTCATAGAAGCCAGTGATTCCACAGCATGGACTTTCAAGTGCAGGTGGCCTTTTTTGGGGGTGGTGTTGGTCCCCTGCATTGATCTGAGGGGTTTCTGCTTGGGATTACTTTGGAGATGGCACTAAAATTAGAAGCACCCATAGCTAGGATGTCATAGCAGGTCCAAAGCCAGAACCTAGACTCTCCAGTCTTTGAACCCAAAGGTGCCGGATGCCAGCCTTGCCTGCCTTGAGGGTAGTAGTTGTCAAGTGCTTCACAGTCATTTCCCAGGAGCATTGCTGGCACAGTCAGGCATTTCATTTAGATGAATCCAAACCAGGGGAGCAGATTTTTGAGCAGTATTGGATGTGGGGATATATAATGTGACTGGTTTTCTAGAAGGTAACCTCATTACCCTGGTTCCTGATGGGCACTGCTGAAAATACAGAACCATCTGGAGGACTGATGGATAGAAGCAATTCAAGGAAGAATAAGGATGATGTCTTTTAGAAATGCTATAGGAATATTTGTTTGGGGGTCAATAAATAACATGCTTAGAGTTTAATAAATATTTTGTTATGTCATCATAGTTTCTACATTTTTGTATTCTAGTAGAATTTTATCTAGTTTTAATATTTGTTTTTTGAGCAGACATCTTTATCTTGAGAGATATCATTTAGAGTTACTTTTTCAAAATTTGCAGCTGTGTAAATCCAGATGCTTGGTGAAGCTGCTGTGGTGTGAGGAAAGCCTCTCCCGTTAGGCCAGGAGCCTGTAGGGCAACATCAGCACATATGAAACCTGCTGTGTATTATAAGCAACAGGAAATAGCACAGAAGCTGCAAGTGCATTTAGGTCATTTGGAAGTTGAATTCTTGTCATATCTTCACTTTGCTTAACATATCTTCTCCCCTTTAGTTCTTTCTTATAGTAATTTGAAGCTGATGAATTCATTGGTATTTTCAGGAGAGCATATACAATTAAAATATTTTTAAATTCAGTATCAGTTCAAAGAACTTAGCATCACTTGCCTCTCACCTTTGGTGGGAAGGTAATGAGCAGACACTTAGCTCTGTGTGCACAAGGACGATGGTCCTGAGTCTCCTGGGATGGCTAGCTAAATCTGGAAGTTCCTTAGGAGATGGAAAGACATCAGCTCCTCATGTTCCATTCAAAGTGAGCACAGGGCGCTCAGTGAACATGCATTAGGTTAATGAGTGTCCTCTGCAGGGACTGGTCTCCTATTCCCTTTCCAGACCTCAAAGCTGAATTGTCTGTCCTTCTCTCTGCTCCAGTAGCCTCAGCTATTGAGTACTATTGCCCCTGAGATGCTTCTTGTTCATACTACTGGGATCTTGCCTCCAAAGTTTACTTGGAAGAATAGGAGGAAACTGTTGCTTTAAACTGCACATAAAACAAAAGGAAGTGGCTTTGCCTTTCCCTAAAGACATGGAGAAAGAGAAGTCCGTTCCGTGGTCGTGGCCATGCTATGGAACAAATTCTTGGCCACTCCACACCATCCTTGCTTCTTATATGTTTTGTGCATCAGTGAATTTTTTAGCCCAAGCATTTTCACCTATGGGAGGCGTGTAGAAACGGAGGCACAGAAATGCTAGCTCCTTGCCATTTCATGGGGTCCTTGGGTCTCTGCCTGCTGCCCCGCCAACTTTCCCCACAAACCTCTGGAATTTCAGCAGTGCCCTCTACTGTGGGCCTGTGGAGCCAGACTAAGTTAGACTTCCCCTGACTCAAACTTGGAAGTGATACCCCATGAGGCTTGTTGATTTCTGTTTCTTAGAAACCAGATACTGATGTGGATCCCCTGAGAGAGGAGGGAGTAAAGGCTTTGGGCACAGGATGCTGTGGTGTTTGAAATCCCCTGTAGTGTCCCCATCATACAATCAGAAGAGACACTGGGGCAATTTGATTTCTCACAGGAGTTAAAATTCTATGGCAAAGGGGAGGCTATCTCTGAAAATAACCCTCCAGGGGTGCAGAGTGGGGACCATGGCCAAGAGAGGAGGTGACTTTCCCTCTGTCACTGTGGGACTCAGGTCATGGTAAAGTTGGATGTCATCCTTTGTCCCTTACCTTCCTATGTCATGTACTCTGTATGTTTGTGCATTAGAGATGCATGACAACCTCTAAATCCGATGTTAGAATGACCCCCGGGGAACATGTTGAGAAGCTATGGAGGCCCTGCAAGGCACAATGACTTCTTCAGGGCCATACACATACCCACAAGAAGGGGAAGGGTCTCAGCCAAGCTCTGTCTCCCCAAACCAAGGGAGCTGGCTACACCCGGGCCTGTCTGAGGGCCTGATCCAGGGTTTGTTGGTGTAACTAGGTCCACCTGTGCCTATGTCATGGGAAGACTGCAGCCCGGTGGGCCATCGGAACCATCTTGTGTGAGAAAGGGACTCAGGAAAGGACTTCCTGGGACAGTGACCTCACTTCCTTGGCCATGGAACTCACAGAACTTGGAACCCTGGTAGCTAGGCACCCACAGTCCACAAACAGTCCCAGTCTGCTCACTGGTGTTGAGACAGCAGGCCCAGAGCCATGAGTTTTTGTTGCCTACAGATCTGTGGGTGCTTAAGCCTCAGGGCTTTTCCTGAGTGTGGAGGTGCTGGGTCAGCGCTGTGTCCCCACGACTCTGGCAATTTTTCCCAAGGAGACCAGAAGTGAGACAGGACAGGGCACCACAGGTTTAAATAGTTTAACCCACATTCAGATTCCCCTTTCAAAAGTGCCAGATCTCACCAGGTTTGTGAGTGTGTGTGTGTGTGTGTGTGTGTGTGTGTGTGTGTGTGTGTGTGTGTGAGATGGAGGGAAAATATTTTGTTTTGACTGTATGGCAGTGATTCCTTTTGCAAATGGCTACCGTTTTCCTGTTGAACTGTCCCTCGTTGATTGTCCATCCTGGGGAGAAGATGACCAAGGTTCATCAGTGGATGTCCTGTCTTGTGGAAACCCTCAGCACTTCTCTGGGAGCGTGAGGAAGGCCTGGTGCCTGCCCTGCAGCAGGGGAACATCCCCTATGTCCATGGGGTTTTGTATTTGTACTAAGATTTGGCCAGTACCCAGAAGGCTCTGGAGCTGCTGTGTAAAAGATGTGTATCACCTCCAAGCCCTGGCCCATGGCCATCTCCTGGCCTGGTGTTGGGAATGCTGGGCATCACTCTGGACCTCCGTCAGCTCTGTGGAAAGTAGGGCTTTTCAGAGGAGAACTCTGCCTGGGTGTTTAGAAATCCAAGTAGGATGAGCCCTAGGAGTGTTTGCCTCAGAGGGGTCCTGGGACACAGGCTGGCGATGGCTCTGGCCTTCCCCTGGGGGCCTGTCCCCTCCCTGAGAGGAAGTTCTCTGCCTCAGACCTCACTCTTCTGAGGCCTCAGGAAAAGCAGTTTCCATATTTGGGAAGGAGTCTGTGGGTTGCATCTGGAAGGGTTCCAACCTGCATGTAGACGGAACAGGGACCCCTGGGGTCAATTGAGAGGGTCCTGTCCTGAGGTAGCCAGGCAGCAGGTGGTTGGGTTCATTCATGGCTCAAATATATATGAAGCACCTACCTTTGGAAGGCACTTGGCCTATCATTTAGGAATCAGTGCAGACAAACTCTCCCAGCCCTCCTGAGCTCCCCTTATTGTCAGGAAGTTAGTTAAGTCCACCAGGCATCTCGACAGATGAAGGACACAGGATATTAGAGGTCACGGCCTCCTGGCCTTCTCTAGGTATGGACGCCTCCAGGCAGATGTTGAGGAGGAGTACCTTCAAGGCAAGAAGTGAGTGGTCTTTGGGCCTAAGAGGGAGGGCTCCTGTCTCGAGAGTGGTCACTTGGGGGGGCTGTTGTTGAGGATGGCTGGGCAGACCTCAGGGTCTACCCTGTTGTTTCCCAGCAGAGGACAGAGGTCTGGGGCTTACTCTGTGGAAGGAACAAAGCAAGCTGTGGGTGGGATTCTGGGTACCCAAGGAAGAGAGGCGAGGCTGGAGCCTCAGAGCCAGGCCCTGTGAGTATCCCTGTCCAGCACAGCCAATCCCAGCCTGGATGGCCCATGCTTTTTTGGATAGAGACTGGACAGCAAGTGAAGGGGAGAATCATACCCACACATGTGCCTCACAGTTTTGCCCCCTTTGCTCTGCTGCTTGTGACCTGCTTGGACACTCTCTGGGAAGCCCCCCATGCAGGAGGCCTTGGGAGGTTCCAGCTGAAGGAGAGGCCCTTTACAACATTATCTTCCAGTTGGTACAGGTGGTGACCCAAGCTGCCATCCCATTCTTTCAAAGTCAGCCACCTTCCCGGGCAGCTACATAAAATTCACACACACACAAATGCCAGAGGCAGGGGGTCAAGAAGCGATTAGACCAGAAGCCTCCACTTCTCCTAGAATGTTTTCTTGCTGCCCTAGTTCTAAAGTCCTTGAGGTGCCCACATGTGAGCACCTGCGCATTGTGCCAGATGCCCCACCACAGCCATCCTCCTCCTCCCACTAAAACTGTCTATTTTATTTTTTGTGATGGTGTTTTTTTTTTTTTAATGTCTGGGATGGCATTGTAAGTATTTTAGTAACAAACATTTATGTTGACACAATTGTGCTCCATCCATTCACCAGGCTGTGCCACCCCCAGCACTGAGTAGCTGAAGATGGAGCCCCCTTAGAGCACATGGGTTCTGTGGGGAGGACACACCCAGGCCATCTTGGAGGAGGTGAGATAGAGTCCCCTGTGCATGGAGCAGAGATGACTGTCTAAAGGTGGTGAGGATTTCAGGGCATTTTTTCCCCTACTGTGTTCTGTGACGTGAACTAGGTTAGATGTCATGTGACACTACAAACCCTGTTCATATAAGACAGCAAACTTAATATGTGTCTTCTTCTTGCTCCACAGATCATGTCTCACCTTCTTCTTATTCCCTAAGAAACAAGATTGAAGTTAGACCAGATAATAACTCTGTAATGGACTGAACAGTTGAAATAAAAGGAAGAGTCCCATGTTTTGCATTCCAAATAGAAAGCTGTGCCTTGGGCTGGCTGTAGCTCAGTGGCAGAGTGCTTGCCTAGAATGTATGAGGCACTGAGTTCAATCCCTAGAACTACAAAACAAACAAACCAAAAAAAAAAAAAACCTAAGAAAGGCATGCTGTTGATCTAAAACTATTAAAAAAAGAAAGAAAAAAAAAAAGCTGTGGCTCTTGAATAGTTAGTCCCAATGAGAATGCAAGGGAAATGTTCATAAAGAAAATGAAAGTGCTGCTCCAGGGCATATGTGAATGATAAGAAAGCAAAACAGCTGATAGGGAGGGATAAAGTTTTCATAGTCTGGAGAACAGATGAAACAAGCCACATTCCCTTAAGCCAAAACCACATCCAGATAAGGCCATAACATTAGATTTTTCTGATGCCAAGAGAAGGGAGAAAGCTCCAGAAGAAGTCTGAAGTTGCCAGAATTTGGTTCATGATGTTGGAGGCAAGAGGCCCATCTCTATATAACACAGGTGCAAGGTGAAGCAGCAAGTGCTGATGTAGAAGCTACAGCAAGTCATGAAGAAGATCTTGCTAAGCTGTCTGATGAAGACGTGATGTGGTTGAGTTTCTCGGTGTCGCCCAAAAGCTCATGGGTGAGACAATAATGCAGGAAGGTTTAGTGGGGAAATGATCCTGTTAGGAGAGCTAAAGCCAATGAGTGAATTAATCCCTGGCAGGATGAACAGGGGGCACAGATAAAATGGGGTGCCCACACCCTGCCCAAGCCTGGAGGTGCAGGCCGCACCTGTGAAGGAGTCCAGGTGCAGGGTGGAAGTGAACAGCAGCCATCCTCAACGTTCCACATTAGGGTTCCACATTGGAGGTTCCCAGCAATGAGTGGCATCCATCTGCGGGCAGGGCGTTGGTCATGGAGCCCAGGCGCCCTGAGGCACTTTGTGGAGTCCAGTTGAATCGGTGGCTGCAGGGAAAGTGGCGTCCAAATAGGAGCATCCTCATCCATGGGCGGTGGTGGGATTCTGCTTCCAGTGCAGTGGAGGTGCTGGCAGCCTTTCTGGTGGCCAGGTCGGGACTCCAGTGGCCACAGTGTGGAGCCCTGGCTGTGGCGACGGCGACAGCATAGGGTAGCGGGCCTCAGAGTCAGAGGGCGAC